CATCTATTGTTTTCTCGTTTATATTTTAGTGGAAAATAGTGGTGTCATCTGCGAACATGATACAGGTTGAGTCAACTAAATGATAAAATAAATCGTTTACGTGAATGATGAATAGAAGGGGTCCCAGCACAGAGCCCTGCGGTACCCCATATTTCAAAGCTACTGTTTCTGACGTGATACCATTGAAGCACACTGTCTGTCTTCTATCTCAAAATATGAATCCAAAAGAGCTGAGGCTATACCTCTTACACCGCATAGGTTCAATTTTTCTGATAACAAAGTATCGAATTAATTTATATCAAAATTTTGCGAACAGGTCTCTGAATATGAATATAACAATGATATACCTTTATACCTACCACCTCACGAAATTATCTAAAAATAAATTGCGGTGTCGGTATATTTATTCTTATGTCACTTGTTTAATCATACGATAAAGTGATTAGATATTTGTTGCTATCTGGTTGAAAACATTAGTGTCTACAAGTACAAGATCAGAACAAACAATTTCAGTGTACTTTACCACGCTGGTGAAATGATACCAGAAAGTTGGCAAATCGTCTACAATCTACCTGATACCATGTGTTAAGCGGAAGTCAGGTACTTTTTCCTTATGAAAGATCAAAGAACCACATCTCCTTAAGGGGATTCGTCTAAAAAGAAAAGTCGACTCAATTGTCAATGACCTTCATCTCATCATTCCGTTAAGGTTATTCATTTTCCTGGGAATAGTTCCTACATTTTTTTCAAGATTATTTGATACATAAAACAGTTGCAACAAAGTGAAAATATTTTGTACCAACGAAACTAAAATAGATAGATGAAATAGATGCAGAACACGATGCAGAAACACAATTGATATTTTCATCACATAGAGAATGCGAATTCTCAATGTATTTCTTTATATATCTTTATATATATTATATATCCATTCTTTCACGTTCATAATTCATCTGAGAATATTCCTTTTCAATCATATTTTCATCGATATTAGGACAACCCTCATTAATTATTGATATTTGGTGGGCTTGTGTTTTGTAAGTGTATATCAAGGGCAACACTAATTTCGTCGCATAATCTCATACTTCTTCTAAATATGAGGTTCTTCATGAAAAATCGCTACAGGGTGTCTCCTGAAACTGTGCAAAATCTCGGAATTTTCAAAAGGATCCAAAATGAACAAAATCTTTTTTTTTCAAATTTGATAGCAGAGGCATGAAGATAATCTCATTACCTTGGTATATTTTTCGAATTTCTTCCTATATCTTTTATTTGCAGGGTGATCTCAAAAAAGTTTTGTGAGAAAGAGAAGGTGAGACAACATTTAATTTTCCAGAACTGAACATTTTCCAGGAAGAATATGGAAAGTTAGTGAATTGGATGTCCTGATTTTGAATCCGAAGTGATTTTCAACCTATCTTGCCTCCTATATCATTTGTGGGTGGTTCCACGGCTGTTGGCGAGCAGTGTACTGAAGATGACTCCACTTGGTCATAGTGTGTATTTTCAGTATATATCTACCGCTTCTGCTAATATCAGAATCCTAACTCTACAATTACGAAAGATCAGGGTTGCTTCCATCACAAGTGAGACACACTGTATAGTGTTCATCTTGAGTCAATTCTGATCTACATATCTCTTCATCTAAAGTTTATGCTTCAATATGTGACTGAGATTTCAAAAATCGGTTGACGAGGAAAAAAGTTATGACTGCAAAACCAAAAAGTTAATTTTTGGAGACCACTCTGTAAAGATTTTGGGCTGCGACGAAATTAGTGTTGCGTAGTTTATTTCGAAATCTCAATAAGCTAGTCAGACCTATAATTTTCAGTATCTACATAAATCTACATAAATCTTTGAAATGAAAATTACAGGGTAGGTAGTCAGAAATTGGGGCCAAATTTTCCTATCTAAAAAATTCGAAAACTCAATTTTTGCAAATAGCTACGCCCAAAAATTAAGGGACTTCATGTTCAAAACACGAATTCCAATAACTTGATAGATTTCAATGCAACCAAAACACAAGCATGCCTCTTCTCTAGAAAAGCCGATCTCACTGTACCCAACATAAGCTTTTCAGGAGTAACCATACCTTTGAAGACATCCATTTCAATGCTTGGTATTACTATCAGCAATAACCTTTCTTGGGAAAATCACGTGAGATCAATTGCTAAAAGTGCATCCCAAAAACTTGGTTTCCTGTTTCGGGCCAGGAGCTATTTCACTTCCAGTCAGCTGCTTATGATCTATTAGGTACAGATCCGACCTGTCCTGGAATACTGTTCCTATATTTGGAGTGCAGCACCCAAACATACCCTGAAACTGTTGGATTCTGTCCAAAAAAGGGCAATTCGTCTCGTGGGTGATGCCTCGCTCACAAACTCACGCACTTCTCTGGAACACAGTAGAAAATTCGGCGTTCTGGCTCTATTTTATAGATATTTTCATGGACGATGATCTTCTGAAATGTCAACAATTTTTTCCCTCTTGGCAATCCCCGCGAGATTAACCCTTCGTGGTCACTTTGGAGACCTGCAGAATATCTCTTTCCGAAGACTTGTTCATCCAACGAACAGCGAGGCTCTGGAACACATTGCCAAGGGAGGTGTTTCTCGAGGCATATAACCTCCATAAATTCAAGAAGAACAGCAATTCCTACCTTATTTCCCTTGGTTCTCACAATGTTCCCTGAACATTACAAGATATCCCTTTTCGTGGGAACCAGAACATAAACAAAAATCAAAAATGGACAGCTTATGCAGAAACAATCTGCATTCGGATCAAACTGTTCGCTAGTCCAGTCTTCAGCCATAATATCGTAATTCTTTAAAACATGAGGTTCTTATTTTTATAAAATCGCAACATTGTGTCACCTGAAACTTTGCAAAATTATGGAATTTTCAACAGGATCCCAAATGAACGAATACTTCATCATCATCAGTATTACATTTGATGTTTCATTCGAAATAAGACGATCCCCTTAAGGCATGAAGATCTTCATTTAATTTGGATCCGAGCAGCAGCTCGCGTAATAACGCTTACCTAGACAATTTGATCACTTATTATTACAAATCGACATGTTTCAAAGTGCAAACTACACACAAAGTTCATCGGCTTTCACTTGAATTTATAAACTTTTCGGTTTATAGTGATAAATTTCGAGAATTCATTCAAAGATGAGTGCACTTCTTTTCCTCGGAAACGGTTCATTGTTCATTATATCAACAATAAACGAGAGTAACTTTTTCAGTTCGAGGTTCACGCTATACCCAACTTTTTTTTTCGAATTTGATCGTACTTCCTGGGTGTTTGAAAGTGAGCTAAAAATAGAACTTAGTCCAGCCACTAATAAATTGAAAAATAAATACTCAAATGACATGGTAGTCAATGATAAAAATCGAGAAAACATCTTTTTTAAGTAAAGAACAATGTTTATCATTATTTTCTTCAAGATGGTCCCATTTTGATATTATCATTCGTCATTTTGTTTTAGATGAATATTTTTTTCTGGAATTCTGGTGTCTTATACAGGGTGTATCTAAATAACACCGAAAAAATTCAAGGGGTGATTCCGTGTGATATTTTAGGAAATAAAGTTCATATTAAGATGTGTCCTAACTTCCTTTGTTTTCGAGATACAGGGTATTAATATTTCCATGAAAAATCTTTATTCTTTTCATTTCTCAATCGTCTTTTCATCAATTCCAATAAGAGCGGCTCGCGAGAGTTCCGCACACAGCATCCATCATTCTGGCTTCCAATATAGTTTACGTTTTAATCGTCCGAAATTTTATCGCTGAAAGACGAGGAAGATTGGTCACGTGTGGGTCAATTCGGCTTCTGTATTGGTAGAGCAAGTCCGATAAAATTTAGTAATCAAAAAAATGTTGCTGTATGACAGAAGAAACCATGAAAATGGCCGATTCTGATTGATTCTACGAACACGACGAAAATTGAATGAGAATTTGCATTCTCCTTCAGATGAAAATATATATATGCACATAATATCATAATAATATAATATCCACTTATTCTTTCAGCAGTTTCAGCCATTCTTCATGATACACACAATTTTCATCTCTTTTATAATATAACTAAACTATAACGAACTGGCTTCTGAGAATTATTTGTTGACATTCAATACCTGTAAAAAATAGAAGGAGATTGAAAAAAGTCCCAGCCATTCAAAATTTTCTAGGGGAGGGTTAATTTTATGGGCACATGGTATAGGAAACTCATCTATAGTCGCATCTAGGTCACCCTAAAAGTATATCAGCTGATTACACCAATATAATTTCAAATGTATTCAGCCCATATAACTGCAATGAAGTGGTACAGCAAATAATAATTGTTTATGAACATTGAGTCGGTGTTCTAATTGCTAATAATAACATTTTTGAGGTCGAATATCGATCTGTCGTAATTCTATGACTATTCCAATGGTGCGAGATAATACAGGGTGGTGTCATTCGGTTTAGCGTTTAGATCAACAATTTCAATTATTTCATAAAGAATCTATTAAATTTTTCAGCGGTTGAGGAATATACAGGGTGTTTCAAAAAACCTAACCCCCTTGCTAGGGTAGGTAGAACATTGCAAAATAAGTTGGGTTTGCTCAGTAAAAAAATGTTGTAATCCGTTTTCAAGATTTTTTTCACACATTTTTTACGATTATGTTGAAACTACTGGCAGCATTGTGATGAAATTTTGTATGGATGTTTCTTGGAATCTGACACATCGCATGCTTTCGTTTTTATATCTGACTCTCATAGAGGGCGCTAGTTACACGGTTCGTACCGAGCAGTTTTGAACATAATTTTTTTGAGGTTAGATTTATCAATCCAAATTTGATGTGAACTTGAACATCATTCAATTTCACACCAAAAAGGTACTCTTGGTAAAACTCGATACTGTGTTCCGTTTTCGGAATATTTCGATTTGAAAATGATGAAGTCATATCTATTGCTGGTATAAAGCCGTATAAAGCTATGTATTAGAGCGAGTATTATGAAAAATTATCACCTATTTATTGAAAACCGAAAACAACAATACATTTCTGATGCAAAACTCATTGATTTAACAATGAATCACAAGAATAACATCGAAACAGATTTGACTAAGAACATGGATTACACAGTTTTGTCGTATCTTGAGCAGAAAGTCTATGCTACATAGGTAAATTTACGTCAAGAGTTGTGAGTCATAATTGAACATCACAAATGACCTAACAGCTGATCCTCAACTGTTCAGAAGAATAATTCATTTTTGAAAAAAGAATATAGAATCGTGTATTCCTCGAAACGTAGGACATTTTGAACACTCACTCTAACTGATTCAATATTTCATTTTCTAGTCAAATATCTCTTAATTTTCTACTTATGATTCTTTGTTCCATCAATAACTTCGGCACAAGAATAATTTTATTGTTTTTGAACCTGAATAAATAGGTAATTGAACTCAATAAACTTCATTTTATACCAGCATCATTACTACTCCATTATTTTCAAATCGAAATATTCCGAAAACGGAACATAGTATCGAGTCTCACCAGGAGTACCTTTTTGGTGTAAAATTGAATGATGTTCAGGTTCATGTCATATTTGGACTGAAAAATCTAACCTCAAAAAAGTTATGTTCAAAACTACTCGGTACGCACCGTGTAACTAGCGCCCTCAATGAGAGTCAGATATTGAAACAAATTCATGCGATGTGTCAGATTTCATGAAACATCCATGCAAAATTTCATTACAATGATGTCAGTAGTTTCGGAATAATCGTGAAAAATGTGTGAAAAAATAATTTTTTCAACACCTTGTATCATGAAAACGGATCCCGTTACGACATTTTTTCACTGAGCAAACCCAACTTATTATGCAATGTTCTACCTACCCTAGCAAGGGGGTTAGGTTTTTTTGAAACACCCTGTATATCGAAATACACTAGAATACTTATAATTCAATATACCTTTCATAGTCGGTCGCACAAAAAAATCTACACCTGATGTAAATAAAAACATAGCAAAAAAAAGTATTTAATCGCCCTGTATTCTTGTGACAAGTGTGACAACATAGTATAAATAATGAATATGATGGTTTATTGTAGATGTGGTGAATCAAAACGGAAATGCATAATCGTATTACGAGTTGGGTAGGATTGTATTCTATATGCACAATAATTATTCTTCATGGAACCTTTGATGACCTTTGAATGCATTTTATTGCATTGGTAATTGTATAATTATACAGTGAGACAATAAAATTGGAATTCCTTGAATTGATAATACAAACTAAAATTATCATCAAAGTTTATTTCTCCAATACTCATTAACATATTTACTATTTTTGTTGGTATAATACAGGGTGTGTATCTAAATAACACCGAAAAAATTCAAGGGATAGTATTTCCTTGTGATATTGTGAAATAAAGTTCATACAAACATGTGTCCCAACTTCGTTTTCGAGATAAAGGGTATTAATATTTCCATGAAAAATCGCTTTTTCATTCATTACTCAATTGTCTTTCCATCAATTTCAATGAAACGTTGTGGTTTTGTTGATATTAATATGGAGCTTGTTCTGGTGCAATCAGATTCGAAATAACATTACCAGTGGCATCACAGTGGGTAAATTAATCGATATTTATGGAGAATGTCATTGTACGCCACCGGGTTTTCCGAGTTTCATATTTTTATTCGATTTTTACTCGGATTTTTATAAGATTGAATTATCGAAATAACAACTTTTTAATCCTTTGTGTAATTTTCGTATCTTGCTTATTTTTTGAGGAAACAATAAAAATTCGATTTGACTCCAAATTTTGATATAGGCGTGTTTTCAAGACTTCCATGATTACTCAATAACCCAGATTAGAATCATTTTGAAATTTTGGGGCTTTCTCAGTCTCCAACCATACTGAATTTTGGCACCATGAAAGCTTATACAGGAGGGTTATAAATGAAAACAATGAATACTTCCAACGTCAACATCCTGTATCTCAAAAACGGAGCAAGTTTTGACACAGGTTTACATGAACTTCATTTGCTAGAATATCACCCCTTCAATTTTTTTGTGTTATTCAGATTCACCCTATACAGGGTGGGCCACCAGTAACGCCTCGGTCTCTAGAAGGCTAACCACTTATCTTGTTGGAATTCTTCCTCTCTAGGAAGTTGCATGTCAACATAGGCTACCATTTGAAATTATTTCAAAACATACAGGGTGTCCCCAAAAACTGCAAAATACTAAAGTTGATCTTTTTTCAATCGAACACCCTATATATTATTTCATTTTGAGATTCTCCCTGGTGAGCTCATTTCAACAATCCATCATACTTGGGGTCTAGCAGTTATAATTACTGAGATATAGGGTGTGAGAAATCGAGATTTTCTAAGTTCAAGAATTTTTTGTGTCTAAACCATTCATAATTGGTCAAAACGGCTCACATGTCCCTATCTCAACTTTTGATCAACTATCTACTGACATTTAATTGAAACAAATACAGGGTGGTGCAGAATTCAGAATCTTGATCACCCGGTATATGTCCCAATTAAATATCAGTAGATAGTTAATCAAAAGTTGAGATAGGGACATGTAAGCCGTTTTGACCAATTATGAATAGTTTCGACACAAAAAATTCTTGAACTTGGAAACTTTCGATTTTTCACACCCTATATTTCATTAATTATAACTGCTAGACCCCAAGTATGATGGGTCGTTGAAATCAGCTGATCAGGGAGAATCTCAAAATGAAATAATATATAGGGTGTTCGATAGAAAAAAAGTTTAACTTCAGTGTTTTATGGTTTTTGGGGACACCCTGTATGTTTCGAAATAATTTTAAATGGTAGCCTATGTTGACATGCAAATTCCTAGAGAGGAAGAATTCCAAGAAGATAAGTGGTTAGCCTTCTAGAGACCGAGGCGTTACTGTTGGCCCACCCTGTATACTAAATATTTGAAAAAAATACTGAATAATATTGTGGTGCTTCCCTTCCTAACGAAATACATAAAGTAGGCATAACTTTTTGGACCTACTTCTGTTTATTATAAAGGCACCTCGCCTTTGAATATGTTATCTTGAATATTATCAGCGTTTCCATTAAATTTTATCAATGGAAGTAAATTACTAAGCATAGACGCACAGATAAGTCATATCTTTGAATAACCAGATAAACCTAAATGTGAATAAAACTCAACATACAGTCAGGTGCTCATTAACCTGTAAAACTTCTCTTCTCAATTCATTATACTTGCCAACTAATATTTTTTTCTATTTTCGATTTACTCTATATTCGTACACATCTGGTTACCGAAAATATCTCATATATCATGATGTGGAGAACAGAATGTATGAAATGGAAACACACTATGGAGTCAGTTTCACTTTTTAAATGCATTCACGTTACTAAACCATTTCTGAAAATCTCCAATAATTGTTTTGAAATGGAATATTCTCTGATATATTTATGAACACAAAAAATGGATATATACAGTGTGTCCACCTTGAGGACTTACCACCCCTATAAAATCGTTATTATCTGACCGATTTCGAAAAACACTTTTTTGTTGGATAGGTACTTATTCGAAATGTCCATCCAACAAGAGAGTAATTTCATTCTTGGACGGTTATCACGGCCAACTGCGACTAATTTTAATGACCCATATTTCAGTAAGTACTATCAGGGATTTTTTTCAAAAAAAAAAGAATCTGAATCAGGATCAATTGAAACATACCTTTGCCGATTTTCATCATAAAAAAACACATGGTGTCCGAAAAAACGAATTATTATTTTTTTTGAATAGATGATCGGAAAATGTACTACTGTCGTATTTTTGGAAAGAACCAATGACAAATTATCATTGAGGATTAGTTTAGAATATATCTGTACCAATTTTCATCATTCGAATATACAATGTGTCTGAGAAAAAAATTAAAAAGGATATGTAGCAATATTTTTTATCATGATGATTCTTCACTCGAAAAATAATTATGAATCAGGATCACTTGAAACATATCTGTACGGATTTTCATTATCATCAAACACAGGGTGTCCAATAAATCGAATTATTATTTTTTTGAATTGATGATAAAATATTACCTACTATTTCTTTTTTATTTCTTCTCATTCATATCTTATATTTGTATGATAAAATTCGGTACAGATATGTTCGAATAAGTCCTCAATGATGATGTGTCATCAATTTCTACCAAAAATACCACAGTACTACATCTTCTGATGACGTATTCAAAAAATAAATAATAATTCGTTCTTTTGTTTATAATGATGAAAATCGGTACAGGTATGTTTTGAGTCTTGTTGAATGGACATTTCGAATACCTATCCAACAAAAAAAAGTTACTCGAAATCGGCCAGATAATAACGATTTTACAGGGGTGGTAAATACATTGAGAATTCGCATTCTCTATGTAATGCAAATATTAATTCTTTCTCGGTTCATTCAACAGAAAACAACTACTTTCCTGGCTATATGCCACGACGAACATTGAATTACATCTATTGAACACACACGATTAGAATTTGAAAACAAAATCTTCTGAAGTAGAAAATTCGCATTCTTCTTCATATTAAGATATGCACATAATATAATTCTAAATATTCAACAGAAAACAACTATTTTCATGTCATCATATACTACAGGCACGTAGGATGCCGTGCCATATGTATGCAATGCAACAAATAATCCGTGTGGTGAGAATATTCTACTTGCATTTACAGATCAGGTTCATTCAATTTCCAAGAATGCTCTAATTGTAGTTTCAAAACAAGTACAACCACATAGTGACCCATTTGTGTACTCTATTGAATTAATGAATCGATGATTTGAGTGAAAATGTTAGGTTAGTCAGCATCCATATTTCAATGCCACTGTGTTTGGCTCGGTTATCAAATGAAGGTAAACAATATCGTTGTGTGATTATTCAAAAACAAGTTATCCAATCAATCAGATCCCGATAATGAATGAAATATAGATCAAGCAAGTAAATGAATCTTGAAGGCTCTCCTGTTCAAAACAAAAATATTTAACTATGAAATGGTGTATTTATATCTCCAACCTGGGTATGAATTTCCAAATCTGCCTAACTCGGGAACAAACCAGGTATGCGTCCCAACCCGAATAACCAACTGCAACAATTTTGTTTATTCTTGATGACCTAGTACATAATTTTCAGTTCCTAGGAGCTTAACTTCAACTTTAGCTCCTATTACGAACTAAAAGTGTTGCCTAGCAACATACTTATGTTTGTGTTAGTGATAGAAACGTCGATTTACTAGCTAATTTTGGTATTGAAATGGACGACTTTTGTGTCGGTAGCAAAAAAATAATATCGTTTTTTTTTCAGCTGGAGAAGACCCCCATCAAATCCCAATCTAGTCCGTACTCCTTGTCGCCTCTGAGCACGAGCAGTCAACGCCTGCTACGATCGCCGCATAAGGCCACCCGCAAGATATCGCGGATACCCTTCAAGGTCCTGGACGCTCCAGAGCTGCAGGACGATTTCTACCTCAACCTGGTCGATTGGTAAGCATCGTGGCCTACTTAGTCACTTCCACACGGACAGATTGTTTTTTCGTATTAGTGCCAGAGATTTTTTAACATCGATGTAAATTTGATGTATGTACACTCGTCTTCAGCGAACATGTCGCGGTTGGACGATATAAGCGCTCTAATTACAGCGGTGATCAAGAGAGCTGACACAATGAAAATTTTGGTAGATATGGTTTTGATAAATGTAGTGGTCGACGGAATTTCATCTGACCCTTATCATAAATGCTGGTGTTCCGCAAGGATCAATTATAGCACCAACACTATTCCTACTCCATATCAACTTCTTGTCCAGTACAAAGCTTCGCGGATGATAGTACTCTCCATACCGCCTTCTCTTCCAGGGCTCCAATACCAGCCAGGCAAATCAAAAACGAACAAGGAAGAAATGTTGACAACATAAATATGGACTTGGCAACAATTCTAGAATGGGAATCCAATAACTTGGTAGATTTCAATGAAAACAAAACACAAGTATGCCTTTTCTCTAGGAAAGCCGATCCCACTGTGCCCAACCATACCTATGAAGACATCCATTTCGATGCTTGGTATTACTATCAGCAATAACCTTTCATGGGAAAATCACGTGTGATCAATTGCTAAAAGTGCATCCCAAAAACTTGGTTTTCTGTGTCGGGCACGGAGCTATTTCACTTCCAGTCAGCTGCTTTTGATCTATAAGGCATAGATCCGACCTGTCCTGGAATACTCTTCCCATATTTGTGCAGCACCCAAACATACCCTGAAACTGTTGGATTCTGTCCAAAAGAGGGCAATTCGTCTTGTGGGTGATGCCTCGCTCACAAACTCACTCACTTCTCTAGAACACCATAGAAAAGTTCTTCTGAAATATCAACAATTGTTCCTCCATTGGGAGTCCCCGCGAGATTAACCCGTCGAGTTCACGCTTCGCACCACTTCGTCTTCACTTTGGAGACCTGAAGAACATTTATCTCCAAAGACTCGTTCATCCAACGAACAACGAGGCTCTGGAATGCATTGTCAACAAAAGAGGTGTTCCCCGAGGCATATAACCTCCAGAAATTTAAGAAGAACACCAATTCCTACCTTATTTCCCTTGGTTCTCACGATGTTTTTACAACCTTACAGGATATCCCTTCTCGTGGGAACCAGAACATAAAAAATAATAAAAAAAAAAGTTCCCGAGATTCTTTACCATCGAGGGAACTAAGAGGGCGTGTACAGTCGTTACCCCCGATTAGGGGGTAACGGTACAGTGCATCCCATTTTGGTAGATACTAGGGCCCCTCGATGCAAATTTGATGTATGTATCTATTTGTCATCTCATCAGGGTAAGGATAGATCCTCGTCTCCTCTCACTCTAAAGTGTTTTTCAAAACAGTTGTATAGTTTCATCCTTAAATTCGAGTTTGTGCGACGGGTGGAAAACACTATTAGTTGAATTGCTACTTTTATGTCAGTCGGACACACGAAACAGAATCTCAGATCACCAGAACCCCAACATGATATGGTACAGACTAGAGTCACTTGATGGTATAAGTTAGGTAAGAGTTCGGACACAGCTGAACTTCTGTCCATTTTTATTTTCTATATCACAATGGTTTGAGTGAATAAAAGAATAAGACATATATTCTGCTCTCTGTTTTTTTCAATTTCCCTAGTAGCACCTGATTGTCAGATACGAAAAAAAAACACCGTGTTTGATCGTTGTCTATCTCTCTCTCTCCACTCCACAGGTCCGTGCAGAACGTGCTGAGCGTCGGCTTGGGCAGCTGCGTGTACCTTTGGTCGGCGTGCACGTCGCAAGTGACGCGCCTGTGCGACCTCAGCAGCGACGGCAACGTCGTGACGTCGGTGGCGTGGAGCGAGCGCGGCCATCTGGTGGCCGTCGGCACGCACAATGGCTACGTCACCGTGTGGGACGTGGCCGTCAACAAGCAGGTGAATAACATTGACTACTGGCCTCGTAAAATTCACAACGTCGGTGCTCAACATCCCATTTATCGTTTGCGAGCATCGTGGTCCAAGCTTTCAATCAATTATTTTTTCCCACAGTAAAAGAGTTAGTACTTTTTTCCCGGATAGGTTTCCGCGGTCAGACATTTGAGAACTAGGTGTTTGGGTTGAACATCGTCTAGAATCTGTAGATGTTCGACGTTTCTGAACCGATATGAAAACTGAAAAATTGAAATAAAAAGATGATAGGAAATTAGAGGGAGTGATGTTTCACTGAGGTCTCAATCTGCCTACTCCTCAGTTAATATCACGTCACTGGTTCTCTCTAAAGTTTCAATCTGCCTACTTCTTCGAGAGTAGGTAGATTGAGACCAAAATCGGTGCCGGAACGTCGAACATCTACAGATTTTAAATTGATATTATTATGAAAAAAATAGATAGATGGATAGATACTAGGAATAAATAACAATAAATAAACGCAACAATTCATTCATAAATCATTGAAAAGTATACGTTAACAATCCTAGACGCCAAACACGGATAAATGAATGAAATCGCGAATAGTGGGGATATTTCTATGAAATCCTGGGTAGACAAACGAGGGCATCCCATCGACATAATTCAATGCAGGATGTTTCAAAATCCAATATCAAGATGCCGGGGACTTATTTTACAGGTCATGATAAGACTTTTTCTGTGAATATGTGTCCGAAAACGCCTCTTTACGGATCTTAAATCGAGTCTGAAAACCTTCAAGATTTCAAGATTTTCTTTATTTCAACGACCTTAATATTAAATTAGTTTACTGAAATACCGAAAACTGATTACACAACAGTCGTCAAACCATCAATAACAACAAAAAAGACACAGTTTATTGAAAATTTGCAGGTAAACAAGCTGCAAGGTCATACCGCTAGGGTGGGAGCCCTTGCATGGAATGGGGATGTGCTGAGCTCAGGCAGCAGGGATCGGTTGATCCTGCAGCGGGACACGAGGACGCCACGTGAGTACCATTTTTCCTTGATTTGATAGTCGCAGTACCTCTAATAAGCAGGAAAAAGTAGGTATAAACACTAGCAATCTTTCACGTCAAACACATGATGAACAGTGGAAATACCTCTGCGGAATCATGGGCAATCGAGGGCATACCATGGATGATGCGATGTCCATTCAACAGATCGTTTCAACTTTGAGTTGAAGACATCAATGTCATCGTAAAGCAACAGTCATCTGTATGACTGATGAAGGACTCTGAAGATTCTAATTTCGATGATTTCATCTGCAAAATTCGGTGACTTTTCGACTAAAATACGTCTTCCTAAATGTGCTTGAGATAACGTCCATCCTCAAGCCATCTCTTTCTTATGAAAACCTGTGTATCGAAGTAGCTTCTATTACGGCATGCAACTCTCATTTTTTTCAAGGTAGGTACCATCAAACTGTCAAGCGATAAAAAAAAACATATCTTCCAGTCAGAACAAGTTCTGGTATGAGAATAAGTAATACATATCTATGAACTACTACACAAACATGAGTAGAAATGAACATGAATAATAAATCATAATAAATCAGGAAATCACAATAAATCACAATAAAACAAAACAATCAATAAACAAAGAAAAGAATTCTAGTCAAGGACATAACTTACATCACAGTGAAACGTGGACGAGTACTTCTGATTACATAACAATCACCAAAAAATAGGTTTATACCAACAATTATGAACGTCAAACGAGAATCAATCAATGAAATGACGAAAAGTGGGAAAAACACTGCTGACCATGGGCAGACAATCGAGGGTATGTTTACGTATATAAAAAAACGTTGACGGATCGCCCTAACATTGAGTTGAAAACTTCAATGTCATCGTAACGGAACAATCATCTTTATGACTGATACAGAACTCCTCGACGAAAAACTTGACTTATCGGTAAGATTCAGTGATATTTCGACTAAAATACGTTATATCCATGCATGTGCGTGAAATAACGTCCAATCTCAAGCCCACAACTATCGTTCATGGCAGCACTTCAACTCTAATGAAAACCAAATTACGAGAAGCGTTTCTTATTTCTTCTAGTTCAGTACTATGGATTTTTTTGGAAATGAAAATTAATGATATCGTTATTACACCAGAGTGAAACGAGGACGAGTACTTCTGGCTAGAGAGCAATCACGAAAATGTGGGTGTATATACCAACAAGTTTAAACGTCAAACTCGCATCAATGAATGAAATGACGAATAGTGGGGATAACGCGGATTCCTGGGCAGAGAATCGAGGGTAGTGGGTAGTGTTGACTAAAAGTCTTTTGTTTTGCCTATCGTTAGTCACTATCGATAGTTTTATTGGAGTAAATGTGAGGTTAAAACAAAGTATTTCATAAAATGATAACATTTTATTGAACGCTTTTTACATTTTTGGCACGATATAAGTACGATTCCGTCTAATTTGTTGGTTCTAAAATGCAATTGGGTGGGAATGGAGCGAATAAATGATTTGTGACGAAAATAAAGAATGACGTATGGATAATGCATTGTTCATGCTCAGCCAATTCTTCTACACTTCTTTTTTTTCAGGTTTAAGCTTAGTATAGTCCGAATAAATTCATGTTGAGGGTTTCACATCGACATATCTTCCTCAGGTCTACAAAAATTCAGCAGATTCAAGGAAAAAACACAGTTTCCAATTATATCTACTTTAGTTTTACGCTATCCATACTATCGCTACACACTATCGATGGTTTTCGATAGTCACAACTATCGGATATATTGATAGTTGCAATCGATGTTTAACTGATCGAGGGCATGCTATAGATATTCAATATATTGAATCACGGTTTCTATAAATGTGTTCATGTGCGTGAATAAAGTGGTTTTTATGTTTTGTAACATAACTTCACGGTGAAAGGTTTTCGTAAAGATATTCAATATTTTCAATATTTCAGTTACGTTTTTGTAACTGAATAGGGTGAAATGTCAGATTAGAATAATATATTCATGTAACTGACTTGCCTTAAGGATTTGAGGGTCTATTTCGTCAACTCTGACTTTGTCTCAGTCTCAGTCCTTGTTCTAATTTTAGTCCTCAAACCAAGTTGATTCTACACATTCGCATAAGAGCATTTATACAACAGTAATTGTCACATTCTTAAGTCTCAGTCCTAAAAACGTGACCTTGAGAGTTCCCAATTTTCAACGTTTATGCTTAGGACTTAGACCATGACGTCAGTGCGCATGCTCAGTGCGTGCATGGCATTATTGACAACCGACAACAACAATCAAAAAATACAAACTGGTTGTGATTAATGCTTGATTATTGAAGCAATCCATTTTTTTCACTTTAGAAAATATCAACAATGAAATTTAGAAGAATGAAAAAAGTTTGTTCATATGTCTGACATTTGTGTCATTTGTCGAAGTCCTAAGTCCTAATATCATGAGTTTAAATAGTTACGTCCTTATTTTTGAAGATATAGACTGAGACCAGAGCTGAGACTGAGACTTGAGACGAAGACAAAGTTGACTAAATAGACACTGAGTAAAACAAGAAAATATATTAAGATCAGGGCCAAAATGGAAAATTCTGGTTTGACCACCTGATTAATATACATTTTCGCACGAAAGTGATAGTGAGAAACTGCGAATAATTGTAAAACATGTGCGTTCATGAACAAAACAAATACGATGTAAATATTGTTTACCTATTGACGATTGCAAATTATTATGATGATTGCCATAACTACTGTACGTGTTGATTTCCATAAAAAAAGGCCACTAACAGAAAAGGAATATTGTGTTCACGTTTCTATGAATATACCAAGAAATACCAATTAAAATTGTAAATAACAGGGAATTGCCTACATGACTTAACACTATCGTGAAAAATCTAGAATCTTAATTTCCTAATTTTTTGAGTACACATCATTTGTTGAAATGATTAGGTGATTCAGTTAGTCATTTATCAGTACTATTAATACCTACTACCTACAAGTATGAACAATAGGAGATATTTTTTGACATATTTTTCATATAACCTTGAACTGTTTTCCTCCTAACATTAACATAGTCAAATTACTCGGTGGAACCTACAATACATATTATCGTGATGCTCAGTAGCCTTCCTAAAACAATGATAAAAGTGAAAACTCCACCTAACAACTGTTTTATGCTTGTTTTTCATTGCATTGCGGTACATACTAGAATATTCAATGTTTTCATTATTCAGTTACGAGTCTAAGACTTTCATTGAATTAATGATGGTGAGTAATGCAGAAATTTTCCGTGAACTGGGGCGTAGAAAACCCCCTTTGTTATGAAAATTCCTTGGAAACGAGCGTCGACTTAATGACTTTGAAATGTTATTAATTCCATTGACGATGACGATTTCATATTTTTATTGGTAAATTTCGATTAATATTTGTTGAGTTCATTTTACAAAGAAATTGAAAACCACTAAATGGAATGATCGAGTTTCGAACAAAATCCAAGACCCGAAAACAATTTTATTTCTAGCTGCTTCACCCAATCTAATATACAGGATGTATCTAAATAACACTGGAAATATTCAAGGGGTGATTATTTGATAGTGATATTTTTGGAAATAAAGTTTATATAAACATGTGTCCTAACTTGCTTCGTTTTCGAGGTACAGGGTATTAATCATGGACGTATGATGAAAAATCGTTTTTTAATTCATTCCTCCCTTCGTCAAAATTGGGAAATTCAAAATGGCGGACGATTTTTCAAATTATGATAAGATTATATTCAAAATTGGTATTCGGGGGTTCTAGGAGTTGGAGATTACGATTCTTTCGTGAAAATTTGAAAATTCAAGATGGCGGATACAATATGGCGGACGAGTTTTGTAATTATGGTCTGATTCTATTCAAGAGTGATATCTGGGAGTTTTAGGGGTTAGAGATTATGATTCCTCTGTCGAAATTGGCAAATGCAAGATGGCGGATCCAATATGGCAAACGAGTTTTGAAATTATGATCCGATTTTATTCAAAATGGAAATCTGGGGGGTCGGAAATTATGATACTTCTGTAAAGATTGGGAAATTCAAGATAACAGATCCAACATGGCGGAAGAATTTTGTTATTATGATCCGATTCTATTCAAAATCGGTAATAAGAGGTTCTTGGGCAATTCAAGATGGCGGATCCAATATGGCGGTCGAGTTCTGTAATTTTAATTCGATTCTATTCAAAATTCGTATCTGGGATATGGTCAGAGATAATGATTCTTTCATCAGAATTTGGAAATCCAAGATGGCATATCCAATATGGCGGACGTGTTTTGTAACTATGATCCGATTCCATTCAAAATTTGGATCTGGGGGATTTTGATGATGAGGGGTCCAGTATGGCGGACGAGTTTTGTAATTATGTTCCGATTTTATTCAAAATTGGTATCTAGGGGTTTCGAGATCGAAGATTGTGATTCTTTCATCATTGAGAAAGGACCCCGCACATTTTGTATGAAAAATGTCTTTTGGCTAATTTTTCTAAAAATTTGATATGTTTTAGATATTAGCGTCCTTATTACACAATCCAATTTACAGATCGATCCTATGACTAGTTTTAGAGCTACAGGGTGTCAATAATTTGATTTTGGCTCATTATTCCAAATTTTTTGGGATTTTCTCTCCTCGTTTCTATAAAATAAAAATATGAATATTTTTTCAATATACGTGTAGTGAGGACAAATCAGATGATTTGCCCCAAAATGTCACTGCGTTCAAAGAATTTTCCTATCAGAGAACCTAAAAAAAAAATTCACTAGCTTGTCAGTGACAATTTGTATTGAAAAAAGTTTGGAGAAGAGAAATAAAGGTATTTAGAAAAAATATCAAATTTTCACTTATCTCTGGACGTTTCGGGACCGATTCTGCTCCCGTTTTCAACATAAGAAAAGATTATTTCAATAGCAAAGTCGTATCTGCCTTGAAGCTTTTCACTTTTCACTGACAATTGGTGACGTTGGCAATGAAATGAGTTACAGGATGTTTTCATTAATTAATCTTGAATTTACCATTTTCATGTTCAGATTTTAGTAGTGAATACCATGTTCTGTCTATATCAACTGAACAAGAAGCAATGCTATTGTCTCCGTTCTGAAGAATTCAAGCAGATTCCTTGATTTTTCTCTTCTGGTTGTTATCTTCTTTTCCAATGATTAATAAATTGATTGATTGATTGAAACATATCAAATTTTCAGAAAAATTAGCCGAAAGCCATTTTCCGTACTAAGGCTATATTCCGAATTCAACTGACAGTACTGAATCTGCTGATTTTCCATTCCGAAATCAAAAAATTCACTGGAAGTGACAGATGCTTGTCAGCAGACATACTATTCATTCCAAATATTTCGACTCAACATTCTGCTGGAATTGCTGAGTATCAAAAGGTAGTGTGGCTTCAGTGAAATGTCATATTGTGTGTTAATGAAATGATTCTCAATATCAGAATATACCTGGAGTATGAAGTAGTAGAGCAGGTAAGGAAAGGAGCAGCATTGGCTAAATAAACTAAATAAACCTGGAATGTCTCCTAAAATTCATCATTATTAAAGCATATTGCGATTTTCATGAATCTCAATTCTCAATCTGGTACATCATGAGAAATTTATGGCAACAAAATGTCCAAGTATTCTTCATCACTCGAGCTTGAATCGCCATCGTCAACAATCGTAGAAACTATAGAGGATACAAGAATCGATTTCTCTTCCATGTTAAATATTAAATTTCCAAAATTTATAACAAGTAGGAGGCTAAACATCTAGTTCAGATAAGCGAGATACTACTACTGATGAAAACCATGAAAACGTGTCCCGAATTACAGTAGTGAATTTTTGATTTTATATTTCGGAACACAGATTTTCAGCAGAGTCAGTGGATCAACTGACAGTACTGACCAGTTGAATTCGGAATATAGCCAATATGTGCGGGGTTCTTTGGGATAGCGGATAAGTTTTGTAAATATGATCCGATTCCATTCAAAATTTGTATCTGGGGGTTTTCGGGCTCGCAGATTATGATTCTTTTACGAAAACTGGAAAATTTCGACGGTCGAATTTCGAAACCCCCCTTTATAGAGATTCAAAAGTAATCGAGCACATCGAAATATCTCTCCTCCATCTCTTGCAGCGAACGTGACGGAACGCCGGCTGGTCGGCCACCGACAGGAAGTGTGCGGCCTCAAATGGTCGCCCGACAACCAGTACCTCGCGTCGGGCGGCAACGACAACCGGCTGTACGTGTGGAACGCGCAGGCGCTGTCGCCCGTCCAGACGTACACCGACCACCTGGCGGCCGTCAAGGCGATCGCGTGGTCGCCCCACCACCACGGGCTGCTCGCCTCGGGCGGCGGAACGGCCGACAGGTGCATTCGGTTCTGGAACACGTTGACTGGGCAGCCGATGCAGTGCGTCGATACAGGTGAGGCTATAGGCGATTCATGCTAAGGACTACTCCCTCTACCGTTTTCTAATATAATAGGCGATTCATGCTAAGGACTACTCCCTCTACCGTTTTCTAATATAACTAACGTATGGGCCATCGATTGCTTTGTTTACATTAGTTTGCGTGTATTTTGTATGAGAAGTAGTTGTGTTTTAATTGTCTATAATTTTGTTTGAGAACTTCTATAAACGTTTAAAAACATGAGTCATCATTGTTGTGTACCTCATATTGTTCATCTTGAGCAAAGAAATCCCGAGTATAGCTTTCATTCCTTTCAAAAATCAGGACAGTCTAAATTTGTATTTGAAACTAATAATTTGGGAAACAAGGAAGTGATCAATAGGAGAGAGGTGTGGATTCATAACTTGAAGATAGGAAAAAGTGTAAAGTGTCTGAACATAATGAGATATTGTTCTTTACACTTCACTGAGAATTTACTCATATACCTATAGGTATATTTTCAAATGTATGTCTATTATGAATATAATACCTACTTCTTGAGGTGGTGGTAAAAGAACAAACAAATTTCAAACTGATTATATCTTTACTCATGAACAGTAGAATTTTTAAACAGTAAAGAATGTTGTCAATCAGGGTTTCGATGATTATGTTGTAAAAAGTCAAGTAGAAACTGTTTACCTAAATTCACCTTCCAAAGAACACTTTATTTCCAAAAAGTTTGCTGGATTTTGTTTCAAAAATATCATGCACTATCAGGGGAATATCCCAGCTATATATTCGAATTGGAAATCAACATTCCACACAGGTTTTCATGAGAATTCTTGTTCAATAATGATAAAAACTTACAGCCTATGCATGTTGGTATATATGAAGTTCAACTAGAGGTAGGAAGGTTATCTAATGTTGAACAGAGATAATATAGTCCTCAATCAAAACACAGTAGACCGCTGTAAAATACAAAGTTCGAAAATAGACAAATAACAAAGCTGGACGTTTGAAAACTCAAAACGAAATGAACATTAACACCATTACCAAACAATGTAAACAATCCGCCAATGGCCCATAGAGTAGTACCGACATTCGCCGTTCTGGCGCTACAATCTTAATCTCAGTCGCCTATATGATTTAGGTTTATCTACAATGTCCCCACCTCTAGCTCACTCATTTTTGAACCGATTTAAAAATTTGAAAATTCATCTAAAATGATTTTTCAGACATTTTTTTATATACAGTGTGGTTCAAGATGCAGAATTCTGATCACCCTGTATCTGTTCCAATTATTAAATGTCAGTAGATAGTAAATCAAAAGTTAAGATACGGACATGAAAGCCCATTTGACCGACAATGTCAGAAAAATTCTAAAGTTGAAAAATCTCGATTTTGAACACCCTATATCTCTGTAATCATTTTCGCTAGACCCCAAGTGTGATGCATTGATGAAATCAGCTCTTCAGGGAGAATCTAAAAATTCAATGGAAAATAGGGTGTTCCATTCAAGAGAATCAAATAATACCCTGTTTATCGTTTGTTCCGAGCACCTTGTATTTTCTGATGTAGCGGAAAAAAACTCTATAAAATAACTGAGCTAGAGGGGGGGGGGGGGCATTTATGGTGAATCACCCTGTACATAAGGTTTTGGAACACGCTGACGGATCAGCCGATACAGTGCGTCGATACAGGTAAGGGTTAGAGTTGATTTTTTTTGTTGACTTATTATTTTCCCAAAGAGGCAGATGTGTTTTATTCGCACGATTCTTCTACAGGTTTGACAGTTTCGGTCGTTTTGTTGAACTTTATTCTGAAACCAGTTCAACTTTTCATTCCGTCTTTTTAGACTGAATGACAGGAAGACAGCGGGCGTTAATCTCGTTAATAATGCCACTTTGCGCAACGTTCAACATATTTGGTTGTTTGCAAATCAAAACAATTTCTAATTTTCGGGGCGGCAAACTGTGACGTACATTCTGAAATCTGGTCTGAAAATAGCTGATGGTGAAGAATATAGCTAGCGAATAGCTAACGAATGAAAAACGAATGAAAAAAAAATAGAAGAAAAAGTGAAACTGGTAAACAAAAACATACATAACCACGAATGCACTCGGAGCAGGAATGCATAGGGCAGTTGCCTTCATCATAAACGAAAATACAATTGAATCAATGAATCACTATCGGCTACATTCAATAATACTATCCTTCCTAATTTACTGCCATCGGTCAGAACAGAAAGAAGCCGACACCCATGGCTCCTTCCTCTTGTTGTGCCTGTCAGTATTTTGAGTGGTTTGGACGGACTCGAAGTATTAAACGCTGTTCCAAGATATAATCTGCAACTTTCCTAGAAAACAGATCCGTTTTATAAAGGAACGAATTCATTAGCAAAAAAAATGACTGAAAAGTTATGAATAACATATTGTAATATGACGATAGTAAAAAATTATAGATACTATCGCAAAAAATCATAATTTATCTTTGTTAGTAATCACCTTTAATCGGCCAATGAGAGATTTATGGGAATTATTCATGATACTTGACAAAGCAGGATTGAAGAACCCATTATATCCCATTGCTGCTATGATATAGTTATTATGCATACAAAGAACAATTTCCGGATATCTAGACATATTGATGTCGGCAACGTCATACTGGCACAAGGAATCGTATTTTAACTCTGTGTGAATGTGGATTTTCAGAAAGTAAGTCATAAGAATGGTGGAGGAGCCAAGTTCCTCTTTTATTTATTTTTTTATGAAGTGACATGTGATCTTACATAAAAAAATACGTATATATTAATTTTTTACAAACTTCACAGTGTGATAAAAACTTCAATATAGGAAACTTCCACATTTCGACTTTTAGGGATGATATTACTGGAACTTCTGAAAATGTAGGTGGAATATTCTGCTCAATAAGAGAGTATAAATTTTATCAACAAATACTATACTTTTTCAAGTTCAAATTGAGACTTATCAATTTCGAATGGAATTGAACACATCCAAATTGGTAAACAAATTCAAAATGAGAATAAACGCATCAAATAGGGAATAATCATTTTCAAATTCAGAAAAACAGTTTTAAATCAAGAAAGAAAATATTCAAGTTCATTAACAGTCAAAATAAAAATGAACCCATTCAATTTGAATGCAAACAACTTCAAATTGGGAAAGGAATTCAATATTGTGTCAAAATCGAAATTAATTATTAGCAATCATAATTCATCGTACCTACTATTTGAATTGATATGCCATATATAATATGCGGACAATGTTAACTGCAAGAACACTGGGAATTGAAGGGAGCATTCTTGCAAAAATGTTTTTTTTTTAATAGAATATTATTTTTGTCATTCCTATAAGACGCATCTCAAGATACACTTCAGACTGAAAGATTCAATAATAAACAACAAAATTGTGTTGAGAGGAAGAGCGGAACCTACAATTAACACGATGGATGTTGAAAAAAAAACCTGGTATAGGTAACATTGAATCAAATACAAATATTTCAAACCTTAGTTATACCTACTATTGAATGCCACTAATTAAAAAATTATAGGGATCATGATTTTTAGGTAATGAACCCTTTTTCCACCCAAAGTTCTATGCTTGAAATTTTGATGTCACCTCTGTACAAATTTCCGCGCGGAAAGGCACAATCACGTGGGGTTCCATCATTAAAATTGTCTGAAGTGACGTACTTGAATTTTCTTCCGTTTTTCCTCCAATTTGCAAGATAAAATTCCTCGTTAGCAGAATTAGGAATAATCTGATATTTTGGGAATATTCCTTAGACTGTATATCATATTGTAGTGCTGAATAGTGAATATTATGTTCTCATTTCATAAACACCTTATCTTCAGGTTGTAATTTAATTGATGGTTACAAATATAGGATATGGTTTCTCAGCACATTTTAAGAAGAAAAGTTCATATGAACATATGCCCTGAACCTCTTTTCGGAAAATGCAAGGACGTACACTATTTTTTTAGGAAAATCTCCAGTATACATCCTATACGGACGCCAGTATTGAAAAATCTCCTGCATCAAAAAATGTCTATTGGTGCTTACTAGGTGCATGTCCAATTTCATGAAAATATCTGGAACATTATAAAAGTTATGATAAGAAAACGAACACCCTATAGCTCGAAAGTTCATATGGACTTTTCTTCCTCAAATGAGCTAAGAAACCATATCCTATATATTCAGCCATCAATCGAATCACATCCTGTATAATAACAAGTTGGCGCAAGTTTTTGATGACTACCATGTTCCAGGTGAATCTGTAAGAATATTCAAAACAATTCGACAATCATAAACATTAGGTACATACATGTTTTATTTTGGGTGGACTATATTATTATTGAAAAATTAATAAGTAGGTTTAGAGGTTGAATAACTCGATATGGTTTACTTTCATAGATTTGTTCATCATGCATCAATGTGTCAGCAATATTTCAACATACATAAATAATAACATTTTATCAAAATGAACGGGAATAAATGTTTTATAGTTTTTTATTATGCAAAAGAAATTAGACTTCTACGCCCCAATGGCCATATTTTGAAATAATCATCGATTCCATATGATCCTCTCACTCTCATGACTCCCAATGAGACCTTGTAATAACACCCCGTACAAGAAGATTATCAAGATGATCAGAATCTTCATCAACAACAACCTGATAAGGTCATAGATGAATTGATTTCTAAAATTGTGATAATTCCATGAGGCATAGTTGAAAATTGACTTTGGAAAAAAAACTGGATAGGAATGGTTCAGAAAGTTGTTCCATTTGGGAAATTCGTTATCATTAGTTTCGTGTTATTTGTTCCATCGATCAATTGAGAGTAAAAATTTAGCATAGACGAACAATGACTGTGTTACGAAATTATTTTATGTAAGGAGCAGAATATCTATGACCAAGAACCAAATTGTGTCTAACTTTCCTGCTTCTAAATATATCCT